CCTCAGTTCACTCCCTACTGACCTGACAGGGACTGGCGTTCATGGTGTTTCTAAAGACCTGCAATCTGTGGTGCCCATGGGCACCTCAAGTGCCTCCTGCTTCTTGAGTGGTAGTACTTCCTAGGGCTTTTTCCCAACCTATGCCTCAGTCCATGTTTTTTTTTAAATTTTTTCTTAGTTTCCTTCTCTGCTGGTCTAATTCTCACCAGAACCCACGCGCTGCAATGCACCAAACTCCCTTATTTGGAACCTGATCTGCTTGGCTTCTCCCAGTCACCTCTTCCCTTTCCGGGGAATTGCTCTTCTTTCCTAAATCTGTTGTGAATAACAATTTGCCCAGAGTGCTAAAGCCTCCAACTCCTTCACTTCAAAATCTGAGTAGCAGTCAGGTTCACAAGTGTCAATCTCCCTGTCCTGCCAGGACTCTCCTCAGGAAGTCTACTCCCAACACTCCTGCTGGAGTGGGCACCGGCTCACATTTCCATGACCCCTGGCCTACAGCGAACTGGACCGGGGGGGACACCTAACCCAACCTGGGCAATCTGATGCTTTCTCCTGGGAATGTGTGCACCTCAAAGACTCCAGGTGGGTTCCACGGGCACTTGATGGATAATATCTAAGCTGGTTTGAAGGGCCTGCTGGTGTAACTCCCAGTCGAGTCTGGGTAACTGACATTCGCTTTAGTTCTATAGCTCTAAGTTTACACCCTTAAAAGGGCAGAAGGTGGTAGATGAGGACTCTGTTCATGCCAGGTGTACTGTGCCACAATGCCCCCTAGTTATGCTGGGAATTGTATAACCCTGAGTTGCAGGGAGCATCAGGCTCAATGAGGTGGTCCCAGCAGACCACCAGACTAGTCGGGTGCAGAACCCCGTTAGCCTTATGTACATATACGTAGAAAAGGCTGAGCTTGGAGAGAGGAAGACTTATCCACATCTGAGCACTCCTTGAGTAGGACTTTGGGGTTTAAAATCTTGCACCCCTGTCAATCAGGATAATGTTGCTGATCTTCACCATATATTCTGATGGGATTCTCTGTCTTCCATCTCTTTTAGAAAAGGAAATTTGATTTAACCAAATGGTGTCTGTGTCTGGTCTTCCCATCAAACTAAGATTACTGCTTGTTAATACAGAGGGTATGCAACATTACACAGGGATGCAATGAAAACCTGGAATTATTTCTATTATTCTCCCCAGGGCTCCTGATGTAGGTCAGCTCCATACACAGGAAGGTGGGAAAGGTGCTGGGATATGGCCAGGCCAGCACCATCTTCTCTCAGATATACGGAGAAGGGGGCTGTGATGGGAGCCCTGAGAGCTCTGTCATCTCCTGAGGCCCCCTGGCAGGGATGGTCCTGTTCACAAGCCCCAGGAAGCCTGCTCTGAGGGAGTTTACCCAGCTTTCGAAGCCTTTGACATCATGGAGAGGAAAGGGAGCCATATTGGCTGACCTTTGAGTGTGCAGTGAAGCCATCCAGAATCCCTGAGAGAGAAACGGATTTTTGAACTCATTGGCTTTGAAGACTCCATCTGCCACCTGCCCTGCCAAGGTCAGGGTGTGTTGGATGCAGCCCCGAGCAGGCTGCCAGCTTTCTGCAGGGCTCGGGGCTCAGTCCTAACCTCGTCCCTCAGTCCCCAGCAGTGAAGAGCTTCTGCCAGGCCAGTCTCTCTTCATCCTGAATCCTAACTACCCCATATCCTCTCTCGTCCCTCTCTCATTCATTCATACACACACACTTATACACACACACACACACACACACACACACACACTTATCGAGAACACTGGGACTTAATTGCTGTTTTTGTTTTAGGGCAGAAACTTAAAGGGTCTTACAGCTCATAAAAGCGACTTATCTTTAAGGCCAAAGAACAAAGGAGAAGGAACAGAACTTAAATATGTTCATCTATGTCCAGCCAAGTCCAGCCTTGCTCCAATCTGAGGTAATGGCTCACTGGGGCACGGGGAACTGGGGGGTCTCCAGTCTTCCTTTTATCCTCCATGACACACATTATGGATGGTATTTCTTTGTGTGACAGTCACACGAGCACACACACAGCAATCCCTCAGAACATGGGACATACATAACAATGATCATAACTGAGAACTTACTGAGCATTTATTTATTATGTGTCAGCCACTGTGCTTCACACAGATTAGACTGTTTAATTCTCACAACCACCCTGTGAGATAGGTGCTGTTCTGGCCACTTTACAGATGAGAAAACTGAGATTCAGAAAAACAAACACGTTGTGAGGCAGCACAGGGATTGAATCTAGGCCCCTCCAACTCCAGAGTGAGTGCCCCCCGCTGCTCTGCCCATGGCCTCCTCCATCCTCACAGCTGGTCACAAAGCACACTGACCTCTCCGATATCTTTTTTCATCTCCTCTGGTACCAGAGCCCCAATTCTGCCAGTTACATTTATTTTTAAAAGGCAAAGTATCGTTTCCCCTCTCAGGATGGATCTGGAGTCCTGGGCATGTATTTCAAAGGGACAGGAAGCAACAGGGCTTGCTACTGGGGCAGCCTCCTCAGTTTGCCCTCCATATAAGGGGCGCCAGCATTTCATTTCCTCAGTTCTGCTGCAACAGTTGGGAAATGATCATTGTATTAGCTGAACTAATTCTAGCTGCTGTAACAAACAACACCCAAGTTTCAGTGGTTTAACCCTGAAAACATTTATTTCTCACTTATTTAACTGTCCAACACAGATTTGCAAAAAGCCAAGTGCTCAGGGTTTAAGGAATATCTCCCAGGTGACCAAAGTCATATAGCATGTTTCCCATGCAGTGAAGGAAGCCCCCAAGGCCCACTTTCTATTCTGCTGCGTGAGGTGCATGCACTGACACCCAGGGCCCAGGCTACAACGTGCCATCCATGGTGACTCTCTCACAAGGTCATTGAGAAGAAATGCCTGTGCACCAAATCAGGGCTCAGTTCCCCGCCGCACCCCTAATCCTTGTCCCCACCCATCTCCTGTGTCCTGAGAAACAGAGAGCTTTGACACTCTGACACTCCAGATTACAAATAAAAATTAAAGTCCGCAGTGACTTATAAGGGTGCAAAAAGTCTATTACAACTGCTCTAAGTGCCACTGCTAGTGCCCAGCTCAACAATTTAATGAACCCACAGATGGACTCCTTCGAGAATTCCACCAGGAGCTGAAGAAGTGAGGTACCGCGCAGTCAGCATTAGTCCCCGGGCTACTCCTCAAGTGGTTCACAGGGTCTCCCTTAGGGATTAATTTTGAGTCCAGGAAAGAAAGAGTCTTAGCTTCTATGGCCCAGGGGCAGAAGTCCTCAGGTACCTGCAAATTAGGGGCCCCTCGGCTCTCCTTGAACACACCCAGAGGCCCTGAAACTTAGAATCAGTTCATAAAGCCCGCCCTGCTCTTCTCCTTCTGGCACCACTTCCAACAAAGGAAGACTGTCCCTTGTCCTCAGGCCTGGGTGTGGGGCCTCCCTGCCTCTCCACAGCTGCCCTGCATGTTTGCTTCAGCCAGACTCACCTGACTGTCAGTGGCAGCGGAACCCACATTGGGCGAGGTTCTAATCTTGGCCTCTCAGGATGGCTTTGCATGGGGCAGAGCTGCCTGCACTGGGAGAATGAGGAAAGTTCTCTACCTGGAACCCATGCTCCCTCGTGACCCTGTTCCCAGGGGCTCAGCTCTCTTCACTTATCGAGAGCAGCAGGGAGGAATGTTTCATGGACAGTCACATCTAAGTGTGACAAACACCTCCCTCCATGTGCTCCTGTGGCACTTGACGTAGATGATAATACTTATGATTGTGCACTTGAATGATTAATTTACACACCACCTTCTGTCTCTCTCATGGTCTGTAACCTCTTCAAGGGAAGGGATGGTTTCTTTTCACATCCATATTTTCTGTACTTAATTATGGCATTTGACCCTCAGAAATGTTACTTAGTAAATGCCATTTATTTTTTGAGAGAATGAGTTGGTAAGTAAATAAGCGAGTGAGTCAATGAGCAAAGATGAATGGGTGATGAACAAATGAGAAGTAAATGATGGCAGAATGAGTGAATGAATGAGGATGTGAGAGGCAGAATGATGGTCCACTGCCTCCAGGTATCCACTCTCCTCTTTTTCCTTGCAAACAGAACCCTGGTTTTCAGTTGGGCACATTTCTACCCAACAAAAAGTATACCTTTTCCACATATGTCCACGTAACTAAGTTCTGTGACTAAGTTAAATGTAAGTAGCAGTGTTGCATGAGACATCAAGGAAAATCCTTAAAAAAGGAATGTGTATGCTTTTGGCTCTTGCCCCTTGCCACCTTTCTATGGCCTGGAAGATGTGTCATGGCTGGAGCTTTGCAGCCATTTTGTACAAGGTGACCTCAAAAAAAAGCCACACCGGTCAGTGAAGCAGAAAGATAGAAGAAATCTAGGTCTCTGTTGAACATGGAATCACTATAACACCCTAGACTGCCTTCCACTGGACCTTTTTTATGTAAGAGAGAAATATTTCCATTTCATTTGTTGTGTTGTGGTTTGTTGTTTTTTGGATTTTTATCATATGTAATTGAATCTGATACTAACCAACTTGCCCAGAATCACAGGTTAATGCTAGAGCCAGTCCTAAAATATAGGACTCCTGTATCCCAGTCTCAAGTTCTTTCTGATGCCAGGCATAAGTCACCATATGGTGGCCTGAAACTCCACACTCATCCAGACCCTGCAGATGCCCTCCAAATGTCAACCCAAGCCATGACACAGAATCAGAAAATCTTGATCATTTTTAAAGACAATCAAAGTGAGCGATGATCTCTGATCAATGTTCAAAACCTACCACACTGGTGGGCATCAAAGAGTCAACCTCAGATTGAATATAGTTCCCAAAGGCCCCAGAAAATGCAAGCAGGGAAACCCATCTATGACCGTAGACCCAGGTACACTCATATCTGTGGTGGCTCCTGCATTTCAACAATAAAGCACTTCTTCCACAAAGTGAACACGTGGGGGTCGAGTCTTACCTCCACCAGGGAATGCCAGTGTGCAATGGGCTTCCGAGGATACGACAACATTTCACTCCAGTGGTCTCTGCCCAGCCTCTCAGCTTCGTTGCCTACTTGACACACGCCGATGATCTCATTGTGACCTACACTGTGAAAATGGCCCACGATAGTTTTTTCTTAAAATTTGCGTATGTAAGTGCAACAACTACTCAATTAAACTAATAGAGGAATTAGGGAAGGGGTGGTTCTTTTCATTCCATAATTTCAAACTACAGGCCATGTTTAACAGCCAATAGTACTTGAGACCCAATATTATACCCAGTGGCACAAAGAGGAAGAACAGAGTCTGCCCCTCACACACCTCAGCTTTCATAACACTGGCATGGCTTAGCTTGTTCCCAAGAACCCTATGTTTAAAGACCTCCCTGACGCATGCTAAGGACGCCACCTCTGTTTCCGGAACTAGATCGATCTCCAAGTCTTCAAATCCATGCAATGAAAAGGGAGCCATGTGAAAGGAGTTTCTTCCAATAATGGTTGCTCAAATTCTTGCAAGAGGCAACCAAGTCCAGATAAGGGAGAAGCTCTGGGTTTGACGGCCATTGTTTTGGGCTCACAAAGAGGGCAGAGTGGAGATGGCTCCTGGGTCTTCTTGCAACCCCTCTCTTTAGAGAATATGTTTTTTTAATGCTCTTTCCTCCTTCCTTCCAAACCCAGCTTTGCTTCTTATAAGACTTCCCTACTGTAGAAAGAGACTTAGCTCCTTTAACTTCAGGGCTAATATTTCTGAAACATTCCTTGGGTAGGCCCCTACCTTGGGTCAAATTTCTTTTCCCTTAGCAGTTTTTAGTTAGAAGTCCTTTGCATAACCAGAATGATATGGCCCAACCTTTAACTCTATGGGATCCAAACTCACAGACTTTCTCTCTTTCTTTTTTCCCTGCTGCAAAGGTGAGTGATTTTTCTCCTATCTGTGTGTAAGGAGTAAGGGGGAGACAAGGGCGGGAAAGTAGTGTGAAAGACATTTGCGTCTATGCTCACTAAAATCAGTAGCATGCAGAAGCCCCATGAATTCTGCCATGGATTTTTCCAGGCCAGATTCATGAGTTTACTGAGAATTAAATTGAAGCAGAGCCCACATAATCAGATTTGTCGATGCGGGAAACTTGGCAATAGCTGGAAAAATGCTGGCCTAGCCTTCCACGGTTGGTGGGCAATGTCCCCTCCTGTGGCCTGACACTATTGGTGTTGTGCGTCGTCCAGAGGAGACAGGATGAGGTCTACTGCCCAGCGTGGGCTGTTACACCCATGGGCAGCTGAGCCAACCCATGTGCTCCCTGGGCTGGAGGACGGTTATGTTTCACCCAGGCATAAGGGCACTGAAGTTTCCTTGCTGACATTTCAGAGGCATGTGGGAAAATTTTTAGCTACAAATAATATTTGTAAGATTATATTAGAAGTCAGAATGATTTTTTTATAATTGTGCCCAGACCACGTGGGAGGTTTCCAATTAAAAAGAGACTTTGCATTTCAGTCTAATGACTGGTTTAACATGTATAATTCCCTGTTGGTACTTTCTTTGCATATTAAAATGACTGTTTTTCAAATCTGTCCTTTAAATACACAATTGGCTACAATGCAGGCTATAAATAACTCTTCTGTGCTGTATTAATTAGAAAGTTGAGCATCTTATACATTTTAATGTACCCTGTCATCCATACTGATTCTAGCATTTTCAAGAGAACATTTCTGAGTTTGCTTTCAGACTTAAGTGGATGGAAATGATCTTTATTAAACACATTGGGAAAAGGGAAAAAAGGATGAAGTTATGTATTTAGAAATGTTGATGGTCTGGCTAAAGTAATCATTCTGCTGTTTTGAGTGGAATCTTTCCAAAGAAGGCCAGGCAGGATTGCTCAAGAGAAGATTAATCCCATGGGGCCACAGTTCTCCAAGCTGAGATCTAGAGGGCGTGCAGGGATGGAGAGGGATAGAGGTGGGGGAGGATGGAGAACGAGAGAGAAGTAAGAAAATGGGAGAGCTGAGAGGCACTTAGGTAATCTGACTCTACAGCATGGTTTGGAAAATAGTGACTCTATCTGTCAATCCGCTTTTCATGTGCTGCTCATTCGACTCATTTCCTGTGGCATGGGACCCCAGGTAAACTTCTGTGGCTGCACACCCCCTCTGCCCTCCCTGCCCTGGGCACGGCGGACCTGCACTGAGAAAGAGCTCCAGGAATCTCACCGGTCGTAGTCCATGACTGCTATGGACAAGTGGATTTGGTCAATGTTCTCAGGAGGGACGTCAAAGACTATGGCTTCATTGTAAACAGGATTCAGAGTGTTCCTCTTGGTGGACGTTTTCCTCTTCTTCAGCCGTCTGCCTTCACACATCAGGGAGACTTTCACGTAGGGATCTGTACAAACCATGACAAGCAGGGGTACTGTGAGGATAAATGGAGATTTAGGCTAGCAGTTTCGTCACTGTGGAGTTTCATGCAGAACTCTCTTACCTGCCCGTGGACTGGAGTTTGAGGCGTTTAATTAATATGATGCCTGGGCAGCGACTAGAGTTAGGACAATTAAGTCATTCATTCAAGAAAAAGCACAGGACACCGTCTCCTCAAAACGCGTGGAATTTAAAAATAGTGTGAAAACATCTGTTACCCAGTTAGAAAATTCTCCAGCTAGAATTCAAGACCTGCCTGGCTGCGACAGGAAGAGGAATGCAAAGCCTCTTCCACAGCCTGGGAAATGGGCTGCAGGTCCCGACTCTGAGGCACCCCAGGGAATCTATTCCTAAAGATTAAGGCTTTAGGAAAGGGAGAAGCTGAATTCCCAGAGGACAGGGAGAACTTGGCGCGGAGGGAGTGGATTTCATTAAGTGCAGGGGCCTTGAGCTCCCAGGGAGAGAAAGGACACAGGCTTGCTTGTGGTGTCACACTGGGATGGAGTGACAGGTGACAAGGCTGGTCTCTGCTTCAGGTGGAGCCTTCATGGTCCCACCTCACTACCCTCTGCTCCGTGGGGAGTTCCCCTTCTCTCTTCACCTGCATAACCACATGATGTCCTGACTCCTTGACACTGTCCAGGAGGGACTCAGAGGGCCGGAAGGGGCCACACCTTTTTTTTCTGCTTGGAAGAACACTGGAGTACAGGAAGCAGAATATACTGCATCTAATGTCCTTTGATTCCAGTGACTAACAGCCAGGGGACTGGGTGTTTTGTGACCACATTTCAGGAGCCCCTGCAGAGGTTACTCATGAATTTGTATAGTAGGAACTGCGTATCGGAGCACTTTTTGTTAAAGATTAGAGTTTAATGGGCCGGCCCCGTGGCTTAGCGGTTAAGTGCGCGCGCTCCGCAGCTGGCGGCCCTGGTTCGGATCCCGGGCGCACACTGACGCACCGCTTCTCCGGCCATGCTGAGGCCGCGTCCCACATACAGCAACTAGAAGGATGTGCAACTGTGACATACAACTATCTACTGGGCCTTTGGGGGAAAAGTAAATAAATAAAATTATAAAAAAAAAAAAAGAATTTAAGTGCACATGCTTGATTCACTGGAATAAACCAAATTGCACAGTTCACCGACAGGCTTTTTATAAGGACACAGGATTCTTCAGTCTTCAATGAGCCTGAGATGATTGCTTATATCTGAGGAAAGACCCAGTTAGATAAGCATGTGCAAACTGTAGGTCCAGTTCCCAACTATGGTTCAGAAGACCTAAGAGTGAATGATGATGATAATAATGACAGCGAACATCAGGCAACATTTAGCATGTGCCAGGCACTGTTCTTACGGCTTCATATGTATTAACTCATTTAATCTGACAATAACCCAGTGAGCCAGATACTGTTATCACCCTCATTTAACAGATGGAGAATCTGAAGCCCAGAGAGGTTAAGTGACCTGCCTAAGGTCACACAGCTAGTAGGTCTAGGACTGGGATTAAACCTAGGCATTTGGTTCCATGCACTTTATTACTATACTAGAAACTTCATGATTTACTGCATTAGAACCGTTATGAGGAAGTCTGAATTTGAGAATGTCCCACCTGATGCTCCTGTTATGTCCATTGCCTTTAAATTCCTTGCTTTTATAATGGTAATGGTCAGCCTGCCAGCCGTTGGAAGATAGCAGAGGGAAAACATCAGCTCTCCAAGATCCACGTTGTCCTGTTGAGAAAGCAGAAACTGACGCGTTGGGAAGTATCTTCAGCCTGGGCGCGTAAGGACCAGCTGCAGGGCAGCACTGGAAGGAAGGCACTGCTCCTTTTGATCTGGTGAATCCCCAGCATCTCTCCCCTTCATGTCGGTCACATGGAGAAGGATTAATCCCTGCACTTCGGGAGCCCCTCACCCTAGGGAAGCATAGCCCATATTTAGATGGCAAACCTGTGGAGGGTGTCCAGGGCTCCGCTACCCTCTATGCAGCCACTTGCCCAGCACAGCCTCACACAGGTTCCCCGAGACCAGAAACGCAGCCCTCAGAGCAGATGCCCCCACAGCAGTAACTACCCCCGACGGAGTCCTCATGTGGATCCACTCATATCCCTCATATCTCTATGACAATCCACACAGAGTCCCTGGGACAAAGCTACACAGAGCAGCCCCACCGAAAGTCCACACATGCTCTGCACACAGTGCCATGCAGCCTCCTCCAGTCTCTCAAACGGATCCCCACACAGCTCCTCGGAGACTCAGTCCCACCCTCCCAACGCCCCTGCCTTTTCCTACATAGCCTCCTCCATAGTTTTTCCCACAGGCCCCACGAAGGACCACAAAGTCCTCCAAATAGTTACTGTCCATATGCATCCTTCCACCATGGCCCCACATATGCAGTCCCCCCGAGTTTGTCACAATACCCTGCACATTCTTGCAAACCCGGCCCCACAACACACACACAACCCTTCACCCACCAGAGCACTGCACACCAACTAGTTCTCTGACAACCTGTGCAGACCAGCACATGGCTCCACTGAACCCTGGAAACACCTAGTCTCTATGTGGCTCTGGACAAGGAGGCTACAGGAGCCTGAGAGAGGCACCCTGTGATCCTACACATCCACAGCCCTGGACACACCGGGACACTCGCCTCGCCCCACCAAGCCTCGGACAAGGGCCCTGAGAAGTCTCTACACAGGGAGAGATGGGTGGGGACCCAGACCCTGCAGGCCCCCTACTGCCGCCCTGCGGGTTCCCGCTTTGCCAGAAGCTCTTTCGTTCCCTTGGTGTGTCTCTAAGGAACCCCCATTTCCCTCTGCTGGGGAAGACATCTCCTAGGGCAATGTGCAGCCATTCAAATAGGTCCGAATACACGCTTCTCTTTCTCTTTTTTAGCCGAGGGAGAGTGTAAACAGAAAGGGGAAAAAAAGAGCCAGTTCATTCAGTTTCAATTTTTGAGACACCTGAGGTCATCGAGCTGGGTGCCTGTGTCTAATTAATACAGTTTCACACTGACAGTGCTCTGGGGAGTCCGGTTTTTGCCCTCAACATCCACAGCCTCCCCGCCCCTTCTGGATTCTCTAAGGATGCTTCTATGTTTAGAAGCACAGATTCAGCTCTGGAAGGTCACCTCACCCAGCCTCCCTGCCTTGACCGCTTCCGCAGGAGGATGAGGCGATGGGAATCTGGTCGCTAAGGCAGATGGATTGCTCTGTGTCTTCACGTGTCGCTTGCCTCGTGTCAATAAATGACCTCACTTCGCAGCCAGGCTCTCCTAGTTCCTGGAGCCCTGACCTCAAGAGATGCCGGTGGCTGGGCCTTTCCTTCTGGGGTGGAGGTGAGGAGGAGAGAGGAGAATTCTACAGGAGTGGGGGTGTCACAGAGGGCAGGGGCTGAACTGCTTTGTGCTGTGGGTTCCCTACTGCACGAGGAGTGTCTGCTCTCACTGAAGAGGGAGGATCTGACCCAGCTTCCTGCTGGTGGCAGAGGAGAGAGAGGAGCAACAGCTGTCTCCACAAATTATCCTTTTCCTTCCATACTCCCTGGCCTACTCCTTCACCCTTTGACTTCTCCTGTTTGCCTTAAGCAGAAAGGTCCAGACACATGTTCTTTCTTCCCTTCTCCTTTCACTTAGCTCGCTTCTCCTCTCCTCTCATCCTGCCCAGGAAATCTTGGTTTGACAAAGTAAAACAGGAAGAACAAAAATCATGCCTATGAAGCGTCATCATCATTAATTCTTTAAGCACACAATTCCTGAGGGGCCACACTGCATAAGCTCTGTAGGATTTGAGATATGAAGATGCATATAGTCCAATTTCTGCCCTCAAAGCCAATGCACACAATTGAATGTGATGTGTCGGGCTACTTTTAAGCTAAGTGCATTTCTCTTTCCAACATAAACCCCATTCATAAATATTTATATTATATGGCTGTTTGCTCATGAGTTAAAACTAAAAAAACAAAAATCAAGCTTCAGACTCAGTGATACATTCAGAAAGTGAGCGAGGGCTAAAGTCCACACTTGTATTTTTTAAAAAAAAGGCAAACTAAAGAAATAGTTATCAGGGCCAGCGCCGTGGCTTAGCGGTT